TAGCTGACCAATGAGTGAGATGCAAAGCCACGGGGGGGGGGGGGGGGCTGCAGAGCTCCTCTCGGTCACCAGCTCTCCTGCAAACCTAGGCTAGGCTAGGCTAGGGGGTCTGAGGGAGCGATTAGCTAGTCCCTTAGTGTGAATCACCAATGCTGCGACCTGTTCAGCCGCAGCCACCCCTCCAGCTCCCCCAAACCAGCCAAGTGCTCTTCCAAGTTCCTCTCTGGGAGTACATCGACCTGCTTCTCACGAAAACCTTAGACGTGATAATAGCAGGGGGAGAGAGAGAGAGAGAGAGAGAGAGAGAGAGAGAGAGAGAAGGAGAGGAGGGAGGAGAGAGAGGGAGAGAGAAAGAAATAACAAGGGTCGAGAGTAGACAATTGGTGGCAACAAGATGAACACTGATTAATGAGGTGGGCCTTGCCCTGGCCTGGCCTGGGGAAGGTTTGTGGCTGATACCCATTAAAGAGCTTAATGAAATAATTATAATTCCCTCCCAGAGCACGGAGGAATCAATAGCGGGAACTCTGAGCCACTCTGGGGGTGGCGTCCCACCAGCCTCACAGTTCAGGGCAGCAGGCAGAACGGGTAGAAGCAAATGCAATTGACACAGAAGTTGCATTAAAAGAGGGCAATAATAGATTAAAAGCTGCCGGGATCCTGGTGACTGGACGTCAATATCCTTTATTCTGTGCCTCGCCCCAAGTCTGCCCCTTCATGCACTATTAGCCCAAATCGATGGGCTGTCAGTTGACATCACCAGCTACAGCATTAATGCGAGCTCACAAAGGAAGCCCAGCTCTGTATTATCACTCTCCCTTCCAAATTACCACATAATGCAGGCTGCAGGCAGCTTGTGACATGTTAGCACCATACACGATTTGTTGGGATTGGACTAAACATTTCATAGCTAAAGATTTCATCAGAGACTTGATGACAGAAATAAACTGCTATCCACGGGGAAATCATGGGAAATAATAGAATTAAGCATTGCTTGAGAATCTGGAGGAATGGTGGGAGGAGAGAAATGAAACCTGCAGCTGGTGGCCCGCTCTGGAAGCAACTCCAGGAGAAAACTGTCATTAGAAGGCTTTTTGTGGGTCCTACTTAAAGAACGAATAGTGGGTTGTGTAGGGTTCAGTTTGTACCTTTTGTAAGACCTGGGGAAGGGGTCCCTCCTCAGTACAAGAATATGTGGTTTAGCCAGGCGCCGGTGGCTCATGCTTGTCATCCTAGCTACTCAGGAGGCTGAGATCTGAGGATTGCGGTTCAAAGCCAGCCCGGGCAGGAAAGTCCGTGAGACTCTTATCTCCAATAAACCACCAGAAAACCAGCAGTGGTGCTGTAACTCAAGTGGAAGAGTGCTAACCTTGAGCTGAAGAGCTGAGGGACAGCGCTCAGGCCCAGAGTTCAAGCCCCATGACCAGCCAACCAACAAACAAAAAAAGAGTATGTGGTTTATGGGGCTGGGGATTTAGCTCAGTGGAAGAGCATTTGCCTGGCAAGTGCAAGGCTCTGAGTTTGGTCCTCAGTTCCGGAAAAAAAAAAAAAAAGTATGTGATTTGTTTATGTCCTTCTGGCATAAATACAAGACTTGTATCTCAAAAATGACCAGAGCAAGTTGGGCACCTATGGATTACACCTATAATTCTATTTGGGAGGCTGAGATATGAAGATCCAGATTGGAAGCTAGCCTGGGGCAAGACAGTCTGGGAGACTTATTTCCAGTTAACCAGCAGAAAGCCTGAAGCAGAGCTCTGGCTCCAGTGGCAGAGCTAAGGGACAGCACTCAAGCCCTCAGTCCAAGCCCCAACACCAGCAGAAAAAAAGAGCAAAAATCCCACAAAGACTAGAGGTATGACTCAAAGCACCTGCCTAGCAAGAAGGAATCTCTAAGTTCAAACCCCAGGACATTAGCAATGCAATCAGGAAAGGCTGACCCAGGGAAACTTTTCTCTCCTGGTTTCCCACCTCCACGTTTCAAAGCTCTGTATTCCCCCCAGAGGGTTCTGTGAACCCTCACCAAGCCAGGCACTTTGACATCCATTCAAATCATATGGTGCCACGTTCTCACAGGGTGCTTGTCAGCTAGAAATGCTTTGTTTGCAACATTCCTGGCTGATTTCCTTCCTTATAGCTCACTGCACAATCTGTGAGAATTTTGTCAGCTTGGCAGCGAAGGTGTGGCTCAAGTAGCAGAGCAACACGTAGAGCTTCTAAAGCCAAGAGAGCAAGGTCAGTGGTGAGGCCCAGTACCGAAAGTCCAATAGCTTCCTCCAGGTAAACGGGTGGCAGCTTTACAATTAGCTACTGCCATCTAGTGTGCAAAAATATCCTCACACTAGTAGGTAAACTTAACAGAAGCCAAAGTTAAAAACTAAAAGAAAATTCTCTCACCCTGTTCCACCTTCACAGGAACCTAAAGGCCACTTTTCTATTAAAGCTCAGGGATGCAAACATTACCCCACCTGCAAAGTATTATTAAAAGGCCCCTTTTTCCTTAAGTATACAAATATAGTAACATTGAGGATCTTACTCCTGTAGTAAGAGCTGAGGAAGTACTATTCAGGAAATCCTGAGAACCATAGTAATCAAAAACATTTTAACAAGCTAAATATGCAGAAGCCAGTCACACCTTCTTTTTTTTTTTTGTCGGTCATGGGGCTTGAACTCTGGGCCTGGGCGCTGTCCCTCAGCTCTTCAGCTCAAAGCGAGCGCTCAACCACTTGAGCTACAGCGCCACTTCCGGTTTTCTGGTGGTTTATTGGAGATAGGAGTCTCACGGTCTCTCCGGGCTGGCTTTGAACCGCGATCCTCAGATCTCAGCCTCCTGAGTAGCTAGGATTACAGGCATGAGCCACCAGCGCCCGGCCAGTCACACCTTCTTAAAACTGACTTAGGGATTCTGATTTCTCTCTTACTCAAATTCAGTGGCGCACTATAAAAAGCAAATAAAGGGGCTGGGAAGGTGGCTTGGTGGTAAAGTGCTTGCCTCACATGCATGAGGCCCTGGGTTCAATTCCTCAGCACCACATAAGCAAAAAGAAAAAAGCCAGAAGTGGTGCTGTGGCTCAAGTGGTAGTGCTAGCCTTGAGCTGAAGAGCCGAGTTCAAGCCCCACAACTGACAAAAAAAAAAAAAAAAGGTAAATAAAATTAAACCAGCCATCTCTGCCAACATTCCTATACAACCAGCCCTATACAACCTTATAAAACAATTACTCCTGGGCTGGGAAGGTGGCTCAGTGGTAGAGCACTAGCCTTGAGCTGAAGAGCTGAGGGACAGCGCCCAGGCCTAGAGTTCAGGCCCCACTACCGGACCCAAAAAAAGAAAACAATTACTCCTGCCCCTGTATCTACAGATCATCCAGACATTCCAAGATGTGGCATTTTCTATGTCTGAACTGGATCTCTCCATTTTCTTTGTGCCCATATTGAGGCTTGAATTCAGGGGCTGGCCTGGGTGCTACTGTTTTTGCTAGTTTAGTGCTCTACCACAGCTCCACTTTTGGCCTTTTTGGTTTATTGGAAACTGTTTTCATGCCTGGGTTGCCTCTGAATTACAATCAACTCTCAGCCTCCTGAGTAGCTCAGATTACAGGTATGTATGAGTTTCCAGTGTTTTGCTCATCTCTCCACACTCGGACATCTCTACTTCCGACATGATTCCTGTGTCTGCCCTGCCCGTTTGGTTTCAAGTATCTAGGACTGTAAGGCCTCAGTCACTCTATTTCCCCTTATTAATACTTCTTGGTTTTCCATCAAATTTTGTGTGGGGTGGAATGTGGCTGTGGTAGTGCTTGTCCAGCATGCATGAAGCCGTAGGTTCCATTCCTCAGTACCACACAAACAGAAAAAAGCCAAAAGTGGCACTGTGGGGCTCAAGTGGTAGAGTGCTAGGCTTGAGCAAAAGGTCAGGGACAGTGCCCAAGGCCCGAGTTCAAGCCCCAGGACTGGCAAAAATAGAGGTATCTCAAGCCACTATCCTCAGCTTCAGTGTGTATACCCTCCGACTAGCCTGCAGAACATTTACTGGGAGTCATATTCACATTGCTTACTCAAAAACACCTGTTTTCAATAACCAATGTGACAGGGCCATCAGATGACTTCCGAGACACTAAGCTGCCAACTACAAGTTGCCTGTGTGCCATTATCCATCATCAAATACCAACTCTAAAATAAGTTGAAACTTGTTACACCATGAATCCTAATATTGGATATGGGACACCTGTATTGTACTTAAGGTTAAATTACTAAGGGTACCTAACCAGATGACTCATACCTGAAATCCTAGTTCAGGAAAATGAGACGCCTGAACCAGCTGATCAAAGTCCATATGAGTACTCTTCAATTAGCTCACAGAAAAACCATGGAGCTACCCAAATGTGAGTGACAGCTAAGGACTGAAGCCCCAAGCCCTAATACTAGCATAGTAAAAAGCACCAACTACACAGGCCAGCAACCTTGCTACTTTGACCTGTATAAAAGGGAGTAGACCTGTACAGGGCAGTTAATCCCTACCACCTATTGTCATAGCAAGATTTTATTCTGAAGCATACTTCACTATCAAGCATGGCCTCTAGGCATTAAAGATTTGACAACTTCCCTTCCCCTTTCACCTGTTTTCCTATCTGCCATCTCATTTGGCATAGTCAGCTGCCCTCAACAGGGTCAACCAATGTCAGTTCTGAAATTAATCATCTATCGGGGCTTAATAGAAAGGTCTCAGACATGCCTGCCTGGGTTGGCTTTGAACTGTGATCCCCAGGTATTAGCCTACTATGTAGATTTAGTAGCCAGGATCAGTAGTTGCAAACAGCCAGTGGATTGTTGAGCCACTATAGCCCAGCTGTGTCAAATTAGAGGCTTTTTAATCTGCAATTAGATTACCTAGCTCTAAATTGACACAGGTTGACCCAAACAGCCCACATTGGTCCTTAATACCTATTACCAAATCCACCCTTAACTATGTAGTACTAAGGCAACTCAGGAAACATGACAATTGTGTGCCAATTTTAAATATATTTATTTAAGACATTGCATTTTCCACTTACAATACAGTGCTTTATAAAGTGCAATGTTTATATTTTTCCCTGTGTACATGTTCCATATTCAAGTATTGAGAATGCCCAGTAATTTACTACAGCAGCTTAACTTTTAAAAGCTGCTATAGAAGTTGCTAAATTTGGGTCTTTAAATGTTTTCTTGTGTGGAACAATGCTACATGTATGTTTAGGTTGCCTTAATCAACCTCTTCAATGGTGGGCCCAGAGGAAGCACCACCAGAAGGAGGAGCTCCTCCACCAGGGAAGCCTCCAGGCATGCCTCCTGGCATGCCACCGGCACTCTGGTACAGCTTGGTGATGATAGGATTGCACACTTTCTCCAGCTCTTTCTGCTGATGTTCAAACTCTTCCTTTTCTGCAGTCTGTGGAAATCGAGAGAAATATTGCTAATTACTTACACAGAAAACAGTATGGAAATAGCTATAATTCTAACAATGCCAATCTATTATCTTTCACACATGTTCTAGCTGTTAGGATCCTTCTGATAAAGGATAAAGCCAGCACATAAAACTCATTCTGGCTTTTCCTTGACCAGGTCACTCAGACATCCAAGGAAGGTAAATTACCAACATGGCTTTCAATTCTGGTGGAAACCGCGAATGTTTTGGACCATTCATCCTTGTGACCCTTTCCTCCAAACCCAAGCTCAAAAACCTGGTAACACCATCATTTTTCAGAGCACTAACCTGATTCTTATCCAACCAATTGATGATCTCGTTACACTTGTCAAGGATCTTCTGTTTATCCTCATCATTGATCTTGCCCTGGAGTTTCTCATCTTCAACAGTTGCTTTCATGTTGAATGCATAGGATTCCAGTGAATTCTTAGATGATACCTTGTCCCTCTGTTTCTCATCTTCAGCTTTGTATTTCTCAGCTTCCTGAACCATGCGTTCAATGTCCTCCTTGCTAAGACGACCTAAAATATTTAAAGCACATTGTCTCAGGGTTCAAGACATTGCTGTATCAGCAAAGTGATATATGCCCTACATTCTCCATTAACTACTTCTCAGTATTACTACTGTAACAGATCACTGCCCACTTACCTTTGTCATTGGTGATAGTGATCTTGTTCTCCTTTCCTGTGCTCTTATCTACAGCAGAGACATTGAGGATACCATTGGCATCGATGTCAAAAGTGACCTCAATCTGAGGAACACCTCGTGGTGCAGGAGGTATGCCTGTGAGTTCAAACTTTCCAAGAAGGTTGTTGTCCTTAGTCATGGCACGTTCACCTTCATATACCTTTAAGCAAAAGGTGCAACTTTAACAGACTTGTAGAAAAGGTTTGTGCAACAAAATTAACTTTAGATTGGTCGCTCAGACATCCAAGGAAGGAACTGACCAACAGCTAGTGTTTCTGGTGGAAACTACGAATGGTTGTGGAATCAATCATCACAGCAGACCAGTTCCCTTATTTCATGGGTTATGCCAATACTATCTGAAGAGTGAACACATACCTGAATGAGCACACCGGGCTGGTTGTCAGAATAGGTGGTGAAGGTCTGAGTCTGTTTGGTAGGAATGGTTGTATTGCGTTTAATAAGGACTGTCATGACTCCACCAGCAGTCTCAATACCCAGAGACAGAGGGGTAACATCCAAAAGCAGCAAATCTTGAACATTTTCAGACTTGTCTCCAGAGAGAATGGCTGCCTGGACAGCTGAAAGGAGAAGTCAAATGTTAGAAAGAAGTACACAGAATTTATACACAGAATTTATAGATCTCATTCGCTCAGACATCCAAGGAAGGAACTAGCCAACACAGTATTTCTGGTGGAAACTACGAATGGTTTTGGAATCCATCATCACAGCGAATGATTTGAGCGACTTAGGGAGGCTGCTGACCCAAGAACGTATTAGGGACAATGAGATTACCTGCACCGTAGGCAACAGCCTCATCGGGGTTAATGCTCTTATTCAGCTCCTTCCCGTTGAAGAAATCTTGCAGAAGCTTCTGAATCTTGGGAATACGGGTGGAACCACCCACCAAGACAATGTCATGGATCTGTGACTTGTCTAGTTTGGCATCACGGAGAGCTTTTTCTACAGGATCCAGAGTGCCACGGAAGAGGTCAGCATTCAACTCTTCAAATCGAGCCCGGGTGATAGAAGTATAGAAGTCAATGCCTTCGTACAGGGAGTCAATCTCGATACTGGCCTGTGTGCTGGAGGAGAGGGTACGCTTGGCCCGCTCACAAGCAGTGCGGAGACGGCGGACAGCTCTTTTGTTCTCACTGATATCCTTCTTATGCTTTCGTTTGAATTCAGCAATGAAATGGTTTACCATTCGGTTGTCAAAGTCTTCTCCACCCAAGTGGGTGTCTCCTGCTGTAGATTTGACCTCAAAGATCCCATCCTCAATAGTGAGGATAGAAACATCAAAAGTGCCACCTCCTAAATCAAAAATCAGCACATTTCGTTCGGCCCCAACCTGTCATAAGGGGGAAGAAACAATAAGCGAATGCACACTTGAATCCAACAAATAAAACCCAACAGATGGTACCCACGAGGCATACCTTCTTGTCTAAGCCATAAGCAATAGCAGCAGCAGTTGGCTCATTGATAATTCTCAGAACATTCAGACCAGCAATGGTTCCAGCATCTTTTGTTGCCTGGCGCTGAGAGTCGTTGAAGTATGCTGGGACAGTAACCACAGCATTTGTAACAGTCTAAAAGCAAAGGTAAGGGAAAATGATAGTAAGCTACTGTACTTAGGCGACTAAAATTGCCAGACTAAAGAATACCAAATGGTCACGTGCCAGGGACTTGCTACTTAAGACTAACCTCTATTTGAAGCTCTTACCTTTCCAAGATAGGCCTCTGCAATTTCCTTCATCTTTGTGAGAACCATGGAAGAGACTTCCTCTGGGTAGAAACTTTTCGTTTCGCCTTTATATTCAACTTGGACCTTGGGCCTGCCTGCATCATTCACCACCATGAAGGGCCAGTGCTTCATGTCAGACTGGACGACGGCATCATCAAACCTACGTCCAATCAAACGTTTGGCATCTGTAAAAGACATTAAAATTCAATTATTTCAGGGCATATCCACCCAACAGCCAGGCATAAATGTTACACCGAAAGCCCAACACAGCCAACATTGAAAGGAAAAGCCCAACCCACAACTAATGCTACATCCAGATGATTTTCATCTCATCTCTGAGCAGCAGTGGTGCATCCGTTTAAACTTACTTTAACCCACAGCTTGTTTGGAAAGGAAGCTACTACCTATGTTCATTCTGCTAGCAAACTAGTGGCTCACCAAAAACAGTGTTGGTGGGGTTCATCGCCACCTGGTTCTTTGCGGCATCACCGATCAAACGTTCGGTGTCCGTGAAGGCAACGTAACTTGGCGTGGTTCGGTTGCCCTGATCGTTGGCAATGATCTCCACTTTCCCATGTTGGAAGACACCCACGCAGGAGTAGGTGGTGCCGAGATCAATGCCAACTGCAGGTCCCTTCGACATGGTTGCTGTGGGGGAAAGAACAGAATCACCGTGAGGCCTTCATCCTCGACACCCTTTTCCCCCAGAGCACCTTGGGCAGCGGCAATGGCCGCCGGGCCCGGACTCGCTCCCGAGGCTGACCACGTGGCAGGGACGGGGCAGACGCCGCAGCCCCGACAGCAGTGCCAGCCCGCGGAGCGCAGGCCCGCCCGCCTGCGCCCCCTACAGCCCCGCCTCGCCGCCACTCCGCCCGCGCCTGGCGCGCGGCCCCTTTAAGAGCCGGAGAAGGCGAGGAGGAAAGCCGGGCTCCGCCCGCCGCCGCCACCCCGCGTCCGGCCGCCCTTGCTTCCTGCACGGCCTGGCCGGGGCGGGCCGCCCGCCCGCCCGCCGCCCCGGCGCGCGCCGCGGCCCCGGCCTCCCCGCACCAGCCCGCCCCGCCCTGCCCTCCGCGGCCCTCGGGGCCGCCCGGCCGAGCCCCGCCCGCCGCGCTCCGCGCCCGCCGCCCGGCCGCACAAAGGCGGACGGCCGCGGGGAGCCCGGCCCGCGCCGCCCCGTCCCCGCCCCGTCCCCGCCCGGCCGCCGCAGACGGGGCCTCACCTCGTGTGTAGGCCCGGTTCCGCCGAGGAAGAAAGCACCCGCCGCCAGAGAGCTGCCACCGCGTTCAATGAGACCGGTTTCCGCCCGCCACCCCGGCTCTTATACCCTGTCTCAGAACCTTCCAGAAGGATCCCGCCCCGTCGGCTGTCTGTCACGGCGCCCTGAACCAGTAGGCACCGCTTTCCTTCCGAGAGCCCCAATCACGATCCAGAGCTCACTCCTTGGCCCCGCCCCCGCCCGCCTCCACTCCGCCCCGTTCCGCCTCACCTTGCGATGACGCACCACCTCAGCGTTCTCGAACTTTCACGCTCGCCCCCGCTCTCGGAACGGCCCCGGGGAAAGCGAGGGTGGGGCCCAGAGCCCGCGCGCGGGAGTCCTCTGTCACTCCAGGCGGGGGAGGGGAAGGCGCATTTGCTCCTACGCATGCGCCACGCCAGGGCACACGCGGGAGGGAGCGGAAGGAGGAGGCGGGGAGGGGGCGGGCACCGTCGGAACGAACCAATGACAGCGCGATTTTTGGCCGCACGGAACCCGGACAGGGGGTGCGCAGGGGCCTGAAGGGAAGAGAAGACGGAAGTGGAGCCAGGACAAAATGGCCGCGAAGGTTGTTGTTCCCCTCCCCCACAGGAGTCTGCGTTCCCCCTCCCCACCCCCACCGCAGTGTTGGCCCCGGGCCTCCGCCCCCCCCCCCCGGTTCCGGCGCCCCCCTCGTCTCGTAGGTAGCGTGGCTTTGGGTCAGGGTCGGCCCCCGGGGTCTGAGGTGAGGGTCCCGGCCGCATGGCGGGGCCGCCCGGGCTTGGGGCTGGCGGGAGCCGGCGCGGGGTCCCGGCAGCCCCCGAGCGCGCGGTGTGGGGCGCGGGCTCGCCCTGGGCTCCCGGCCCTGCGACGCCGCGCGCGGAGGGCCGTGCGCACCCTCCTCGTGGTCGGCCCGGCCGCGCCCCGCGGCCAGCGCGCCGGACCCCGGCCCGGGAGACCCCGCCCGCCCGCGACCTTGCGCCGCGGGCCGAATGTCAGACGGGGCGGGTCACGCAGCCGGGCCGGTCACGCAGCCGCGCCGGTCACGCAGCCGGGCCGGTCACGCAGCCGGGCCGGGGCCGCGCGCCTCACTCGGCGGCTGACCCGCACCCGGGGCTGAGAAGCGGCTTTCAGGTTAGGCTTTTCCCCGCTGTCAGTGGCAGGCCTGGCGCTGGCGGGCCTCCGACCCCGCGCGGCAGCACGGCCGGAGATGGAGGACACGTCGTCCTCGTCGCGTCCGTGGAGCCTCCCACAGACACTGGGCACCGAAAGGGACGGTTCCCCCTGGGTGTAGGCTGTTGGCGTGGAGTCCCACGAAGGGCACACGGCCTCTGCCTACCCCCCAGGCCCGTCGCGCCATTGTAACCAGCAAGTGGGGTACATATTGTTCGTCTGCGTTAGGACTTGAGCTAAAACCCTTTACTTGTGTGTGGTGAGTTGGAAGTGGGAAGTTCAGAGATGTTACCCCTGGGAAAACACACAGCTGGTTAAAAGAAAATGTCCAACCTAGCTCGGGTTTTTTTTTTTTTCTGCATTGTAATTTCCTTTCTAGAAACTTCTAGAAATGTGCCTAAGGTCACTTTCGGTTTCCTTTAACAAGTACACATTAGGAACTACAACTGCATTGAAAAAAAATTACCATTTGCCGCTGAACCGTGAACTGTTTCTTTCTACTGTTTCTGTAGAAAAATAGAACTGGGGCCCAAATCCATAGGTTTGGAAGATCCCACCCACTAGAAAATGTAATAAAATGCTTTGGACTAGCAAACTTGAAGCTCAGGCCTAGGTTTAATCACCAGCAGACCAAGTAACCTCTGTTTCTAGTTACTGAGAAGATCCATCACATCCATCCCAGGGTACCATGCAGGCACAGGAGAAAGATTACCAGGTTTATTAGAGGAACCATACTTCCCCTGGAGAGAAAGCACCTGGCACCCTCCACTATCTAGGTAGCACCAGGGTCTGGGGGTAGGAAGTGAGGTAGATGGGAGCTCAGGTGGGTCTGGGCGGAGAGATGGAGGGAAGCTGTATGGCCGGAACTCCAGGGCTGGGAGGAGCTCAGGTCTGAGTGGAACTCTGGACTAAAGGTGGGCCTAAAGCTTCCAGTTACTCAAATGTGTTCTAGGACTTGGAATATGTTCTTATGACTCAGAGTTTATATATGAAAAGGTCAGACTATGATGACTGTCCTTTTTCCACACCTAGAGGTACAGGGTTTCAAATAGTACATTTATTCAAACTCTCTAAGTTTGGTGCATGGGGCTTCAGTGGAGGAGGAGTTGGGACTACTGACTAAGGAATGGAATAATTAACATTGTTACATTTCTACTACATGCTAAGCAGTCCCCTAAGTAGATTGCATATATTCCCTCATTTAAACCACAAATCTTAAAAGGTAACCACTTACATATTTTTATTTGTTTGGTCGGTTGTAGGGCTTGAACTCAGGACCTGGGGGCTGTCCCTGAGTGTTCAAGGCTAGCACTCTACCACTTGAGCCAAAGCCCCACTTCTGCTTTTTGAGTGGTTAATTGGAGATGAGTCTCACAGAGACTTTTCTACCTGGCCTTTCTTCAACCACAATCCTCAGATCTCAGCCTCCTGAGTGTAAGGTCCGCTCCTGGATGGCAAGCAGACTCCACCCTCCTCACAGCAAAGTCTCCACCCAGTACCTGGGTTACCTAGGTCACTGGCACCCCTGGAAGAGGTCACATCTGCATCTGCTGAAGTCACATCTGAATTTGATGTGGCCACACCTTTCTCCTCCCATACCCTAATAAGGCCTAGCCCAGGCCCAGAAGCTCTCTTTTTTAGCTCTTTTCCAGCTCTTTCCCAGGCCTCTCCCAGCTGCGTGGAGGGTCAAGATGGCCTGGTGCCATAAACCTGCCCCTTACCTGAATACCATGTGTGTGGTGCTGTTCATACTCAGCTACCTCTTTTTAAAAACCTAACACTGAATAAGGCTAGGGTTCCCAGCTTGATAATCCATTTTGTAGAGGAAACTGTCACTCAAGTCACAGGATTGGGCTGGGAAGGTGGCACAGTGGTAGAGTGCTTGCTTTGCATGCTTGAGGCCCTGGGTTCGATTCCTCAGCACCACATAAGCAAGAAAAAAAGCTGGAAGTGGCGCTGTGGCTCAAGTGGTAGAGCACTAGCCTTGAGCTGAAGAGCTGAGGGACAGCGCCCAGGCCCAGAGTTCAAGACCCACGACCGGACCCAAAAAAAAAAATTAATAAATCAAGTCACAGGATTAAGCTAAACCACAAAATAAGACAATAGAACCTGTAATTCAAACACAGCCTAGCTAGTATCTTTAAAAATATCTAGGGCTGGGAAGGTGGCTCAGTGGTAGAGCGCTATCTGCTTTCTACCAACATTGCTGGAAATCACATTAAAATGAAGACAAAGTTGTGTGGCTTTTACAGCCTCATAATCCTTGATTATATCAGACTAAATATTTAGTCTATGAAATGCCTGGTTAGTGTTAAGCATACTTTTGTTTTTTCCTACACTGGGGTTTGAAATCCTTTCTTTTTTTCACTCAAGGCTGAAGCTCTACCCCTTGAGCCACAGTGCTTGTGACTTTTTGCTGGTTAATTGGAGTTGTAGATTTGTCTGCTTGGGCTAGCTTTTAACTAAAATCCTGAGCAACCTCCTGAGTAACTAAGATTATAGTTGTTAGCCATCCCCTGATAAGTATACTTTTTTAAGGGGGCGGGGGCGGGGAAGGTCTTGTATTGTGCTAGGTTCTGGGTCTTGAACTCCAGGCTTGGGTGCTGTCCCTAAGCTTTATTGTTCCTTGCTAGGGCTCTGCCACTGGAGTTAGCCCACTTCTGGCTTTTGGATGGTTAATTGGAGAAGAGTCTCGTGGGCTTTCCTGCCTGGGCTGCCTTCCAACCATAATCCTCAAATCTCAGCCTCCCTAATAACTAGGATTACAGCTTGAGCCACCAGCATAGAACATTTAATTGGATAGTATGTTTTATAGCTATGTGGTATGTGGTGTTTCTAAACATACTTTTTTTTTTTTTTGGTCAGTCGTGGGGCTTGAACTCTGGGCTTGGGCGCTGTCCCTCAGCTCTTCAGCTCAAGGTGAGCGCTCTACCTCTTGAGCCACAGCACCACTTCCGGTTCTCAAGTGGTTTGTTGAAGTTAAGAGTCTCATGGACTTTCCTTCCTGGGCTGGCTTTGAACCGAGATCCTCAGATCTCAGCCTCCTGAGTAGCTAGTATTACAGGTGTGAGCCACTGGCACCCGGCTTAAACATTCAATTTTAAACTTTATTCAACATCAAAGAATAATGAATTTATATGGTAATTCTTACTTTGAAATCTCAGATATTAAAAACAACCCATTTTGTGACTAAAAGATGAAATGTGTAAACTGATTTCCCAAAGAGTTCAGTATATTTACCAGAGACATTTAAAACCAGAATGACTCAAGGTGTTAGTATTTCAACTTTCTAACTGTAGCTAGGTATAAATTACTGCTGTTGACACATAGGAATAATTCCACTATCTTTTTTCATCATTATATTTCACTTGCCTAACCAGATTATGTGTTCTAACACCTTCATGCCCAGTGTGGTGTTTAGCTGGTAGTTTTCATCTTTGCCAATAGTATTTTATTACATGCTTGACATATATTTTCTGTATAACCCTCTCATCATCTATTCTAAGCACCTACTATGATCTTATCTTCAGATAGAGAAAGTCAGGCTCTCATAGATTCTAATAAGTTGTCCTAACTCAGCTTGAATTTCTCTAAATCAGACATATCTGGCTTTTGGGAGTTAATTGTGGATAAAAGTCTCAGGGGCTTTCCTGCCTGGGCTGGCTTTAAACAAGTCCTCAGATCTCAATTATTTATTTATTTTGCTGGTCCTGGGCTTGAACTCAGGGCCTGGGCACTGTTCCTGAGCTGCTTTTGCTCAAGGATAGCACTGTACCGCTTGAGCCACAGTGCCACTTCCAGCTTTATCTGTTCATAGTACTGAGGAATTGAACCCAGGGCTTCAGGCATGCTAGACAAGCACTCTACCACTAAGCTACATTCTCAGCCCCAGATCTCAATTTCTTTTTTTTTTTTTTTTTTTTTGGGTCCGGTCGTGGGGCCTGAACTCTGGGCCTGGGCACTGTCCCTCACTCTTCAGCTCAAGGCTAGTGCTCTACCACTTGAGCCACAGCACCACTTCCGGCTTTTTTCTTTTTGCTTATGTGGTGCTGAGGAATCGAACCCAGGGCCTTGAGCATGCAAGGCAAGCGCTTTACCACTGAGCCATCTTCCCAGCTCCAGATCTCAATTTCTTGAGTGGTTAGGATTACAGGCCTGAACCACAGCACTGGCATAATTTTTATAACTTCCATCTGAGAATGGTAATAAAAAGGTCATGCAAATCAAGACAAAGCTGATAAACAGTTTAGAAGTAGAGCTGGCTCTTACTTGGAATATGTAGGACCATGGGCCAACTCCTAGTACTGCTAAGTTAGTGGAGAAAGGAGGTAGGGGATAACAGAAAGAGGGAGAAAAAAAGCCAGCCCTAAATTTTGTAAACTTAATTACTTCTTTTTTTTTGCCAGTCATGGGGCCTGAACTCTGGGCTTGGGCACTGTCCCTCAGCTCTTCAGCTCAGGGCTAGTGCTCTACCACTGGAGCCACAGTGCCACTTCTGGCTTTTTCTGCTTATGTGGTGCTGAGGAATTGAACCCAGGGCCTCATGCACTCAGGCAAGCACCTCTACTGCTGAGCCACCTTCCCAGCCCCAATTTAATTACCTAAGTATAAGGTTTCTGAAATATTTGACCTCTGTAAATATTTTTAATCATCTTTGGAAAAACTATTTATTTTGTGATATTAATGTAGTTTTTATCTTCTTTGTCTCAGAAGACTACAAATTTAACCTTGATAAATTCAAGATATTCTGTGATTAACATTCAACTAAGGTTATGTATATGACCTAAACCTATTATTACTTTATTAACATGAAAACATCATAGGCAATAATAAAGTTGTAAATTTTATCCTAATTTTCAAAGCAAAGAAATTCTGAAAACAGATTCGATTTATGCATGAGCAATCTTAAGTGTGTCCAGGCATCCTAAAAAGCCTTAGGACAAGGCAGAATGTAAAGAGAAGGGCAAACCTATAGTTTAGGGTAAAAGAGTGAAGACAATCTGTATCTCGCAGTTCTGATGGAATGCACATCCCAGTGGCGGTGCTTAAATCCTAGCTCTGCTAAGACCTGACCTCTCTAAGCCTTAGTTTTGTCATTTATAAAATGAAAATATATAGTAGAGTGCCTAGTGCATGGTACTTCAGTGATAACTACTAGTATTGCTACTATATTTATAGACCTCTGTGACTTTCTGGGGTTGGGATGGGGGTCTGCAAAGACTTGGCCTTGCCTCATTGCAAATGCAGTGAGACTTAGACTTGCTATATAGGAAAGCTGTTCTTGAACTCAAGATCCCCCACTCTTAGCCTCTTAAATGCTGGTATTACAGATGTAAGCCACCACACCCACCTTTCTATGAAGTTTTTCAGATTTATTTAAATCCTTTAGTATGTGCTTTTGTTGTTGTTGCCATTTTACCTTGGTACAAAATACTTTCTAAGTAATAATTATTTGTTGATTTTAAGAAAGTGCTTTAACAACAACAACTCTTGTCATTTCTGGATATCTTGCCTTGTGAGAATAAAGTACTTGGTATACTTGTGACTGAAATCAATAAATAATAGATCATATTCAGTCTGAGTTCCCTCGGCAGCAAGCTGATTAACAAATTTCCAGTGTGGGTTATATGAGCTTCAGCCTTCCTACAGTATTGCCTTTACTTATTTATTTTTTAATTGCTGATACAGACACATCTATAATAAATATTTGGTTTTGTGATGTTCACAGTCTCATCTGCAAAGCAATTTAGAAGTTAACATTGAAACATAAATAGCTTAATACCAGAAATGAAGCAAAATTATAAATAACTTTTTGGAAAAACAATTCTGAGATTGTTTTTATACAATGTAACAACAAAAGTATCAACATTATTTTACAAATTTAGTGTTGATTTATATATTTTATTGAAATGGTCACTCTCCTAATATCCACATTATTCCATCTGCATTTTATTACTACAACATTTGGTCTTCTGAGTTTAAATTATATCCCCTTTCATAGTTTCATTTTGAAGGATCAATTTATTTGATTTAAAAAGTCAGCAGAATGTGGTCTAGAACCTAGTGTCTGTACATTTGATCTTAAACTCAGAGCCAAAAGAAATGTGTTGACCTTGCTTAGACTTCAAGTCCTTAGAATTTCTCAGCTCTTAGTATAATCTGTTTTGTGTGTTTGTTGTAGATTTCCATTGTGAGTAAATTTATAAAACAGCTTGAATATTCAATGATATTAACTCTTCTACTTTCATAAGCAGGAAATGTTTAGTTCAAAAGTAGTAAATAAGAGAAAATTGTTAATGATGACACAGCTCACATCTCTATAGTATGCTTATTTGACTCAAGTACTCTAGGAAAAAGAATTCTCAGAATTACGAGCTGAAGAGATAGGTTGCCTGGATACTACCCTTGGAGAAGAATAAAAATGTAGTCCAAGTAAAGGTTTTAAATCTTACAATGAGGTAAGAGTTAGCATAAGAAGCATTCCAAATATACCAGTTCTCTTAAAGTAATATCGTTATGTTTGTTTTTTTTTTAAGGTCTCTCACTTTCTACCTTTTTTAGAGAAGACAAAATTGAGATTAGAATTTTCCTTTTAAAATTTGCCAGGCCATGGGCTAGGAAGGTGGCTCAGTGGTAGAGCGCTTGCCTTGCATGCTCGAGGCCCTGGGTTCGATTCCTCAGCACCACATAAGCAAAAAGAAAAAAGCCAGAAGTGGCACTGTGGCTCAAGTGGTAGAGTGCTAGCCTTGAGCTGAAGAGCTGAGGGACAGCGCCCAGGCCCAGAGTTCAGGCCCACAACTGGACCCCCCTCAAAAAAATAAAATTTGCCAGGCCACAAGTTCAATCTCCAGGACTAGAAAAAAACAAGATTTTCATCTAAATTCCTGAGGACTTTAGAAGTAAATGCAGTTTTACTCAGTGAAGACATTATTGTAAAAATCAAATGTAGGGAAGAAAAACGAGGTAAACTTTTTCCTGTAAGAATCTGATTCTCATTTTAAAGATAATGCTTTTTTCACCATTTTCATTAATACTTTTTCTTTTCTGTTGCATGTTGCCCTTTAATAATAAGAAATACTCTCCACTTATGGAGATAGGTGTCATTTATTTAACTTCATTGAAAGGATAATTCAAGTGCAGCATTTGTGCCATAGACATCTATCTTAATAGAAACTATTTTAAAAAATCCCAAGTTGCTATACTTTTTACCTTTCACAGTTACCTTTCCTCTCTGATGCATTAGCTCCTTCAATAGTTTTCCAGATAATTTTTTTTTCTTTTTCTTCAATGGTAGTGGTTAAATCCAGAGCCTTAAGGACTCTACCACTGAGCTACTTCCGCAGCAGCAATTTAAATGTTAATGGACACAAGCTGAGCCTTCTCTCAACACCCATTACTTTTTCTTCCCTTTTTCTTTTCTTCCAGCCCAGAGCTAAGCTTTCTTGGAAGTTGAAGCTGGGAAAATGTGGAGTTAATGCTTTGGCCTCTCTAGAGGGAATGATTATGTCATGTCCTCGCAATACCACTAGGAAATGTTGGCAGCCTGATTTTTTTTAAAATGATTTAAGGCCTAGAATCATTAAACATCCTAGATTCTTATCCATCTAAAATGAAAAATAGAGAAAGCTCAAAGTTTGTTGCAATACTACACTTATTTGTACCATTCCTGAACATATTAAGAGATAACTGATCTAATCACTCAGTCTTGAAGTTCTGGTTTCACACACTTTCAGAAAGGGAAACTAATGTTGTGTCAGATGATCTTCAACATTCCCAGATCTTATTTCTCTAGAAGACTTTTTTTTTAATGACATTGTTAAATGACATGTAGAGAATATTTTTCTTCCAGAGATGTCCAGCAGGGAAGTCCTTAGAGGCATCTAATTTGAGGAAAAATTCACAATTGTTCCAGTATGTTGTTCTGATATTTTTCAGTAATCCTTCCGAGCATTAGGAGAAGCTGTTCACAGAACTTTGTCACACTTTTTAGACTTCTTTTTTAGGTTTTATTTTAGGGTTCAACTTAAGAAGGTTAGTAGTACAGTGGGGAAAACTCACTCTTTTCCATCTCCTACTAGTTCATATCCTTCTGAAATCAATACTTAAACTTTATGACACATGAAGTCAAGCCAGACCAGAAGAGATATATTGCCTTTTTTTTTTTTTGAGTTCTTGGAAACAATTAGCCCAATACCTGGTGCAGATAGGTATCATATAAGGCCATGGGTTCTGTTTGACTGTCTGAATTACCACAGTAATCCAGTAGGTTCACAGAAATGAATACAAAATTCACAAACACCCCATTTCTTCTTGACAATGGTAACTTAATACATAGATGCAAAACGTCTGAGGTGCCTCACCTTTCCCCAGCACCCTCACCACGGTTCTGGTCAGCAAACAGACAAATTTGGATCCCTGCTGTTTCTTCCTCTGGTCTAAAAGCCATATGAGATGCCTTACTGGAGATGATCACCCTACATCTTTTTGCTTCTCTGGTGTCATACCAAGAAAAGTGCCCATCTGAATCTGTTCCACTTGTTGTTCACAGCTATTTAAATAACCTCTTCTACGGTTGAAGGGGTTGTGTGGCTGGTGACGAGTTTCAGTGACTAGAATAGTCCTAAAATCCTGACTCCTAGGAAAGCATGGAGGTCAAGTCCACTTTAATTCAGACAGTTTGGAAGGCTCCACTCTGGCTGGGGATCATGCTGGATGTGGTTTCTGCTTTGGTCAGGGTAGCATGGTGGACTCTCTTTGGTTCAGATCCTCTCATGTCAGACCCAAGTAGGCTGTATGGCTGGGTGGCTATGCCTGGCTGAGGTGCTGCGTCGGTTGACAGTGTCCGCTGGCTGCGTGAGGCACTATTTGCTGTGGAGCGAGTGGAGGAAGAACCAGAGTGAGAGCTCTGAGAGCCTGAGGAAGAAGAGCCAGGTTTCACAAGGCGGGCTTTTGGAGCTTCAGCATCTTCTCTAAAGAGAAAAAACAGCAAAGATAAACTTCAGTGCTGGCAGGATTATGATGGTTTCCACTATGCTTACTTCCTCCTTGTAAGGTCTGCACAGGGACACCTCCCTCCCTCCCTTCCCTTTTGGCTAAGTTGCCTCCCAGTATCTGTTACCTAAGTAACTGGCAGACTTGGAAGCAGTCACCTTCCCCTCCTGCTAGGTCACATCCTGGGCCACCTCTGGTCACATGCCTCCCCTCTGACCCTAGGAGGGTCCCAGACCCTGAGGTTACGTCCAGATCCAGTGTGGCCACACCTTACCCCCACCTGGTCACACCTCTTCCTGTCCCTGGTCTAGATAAGTCTTGGCCCAGAGGTGGGTCACTCTTCTCCCCCCTTCCCCCCCCCACCCCCCCCCACCGTTCCGCCCCTTTTCCTTTTCAGCCATGCTTCTCCACTATGCATGGCGGGCTGGGGGGGGGGGGGGGCAACAGTTTGGTAAATTAACTTCTTTTCTTGCCTGAATAGTGTGTGTTGTTCTCTTCACTGGCTACCTAATGAAACCTACCTATTAAATATACCTTACACTCCTTAGGTTTCCCAATAAATTCCTCAAGCTGTAAACTTCAAATATCATCAGAAGGCAGCCATTTACTGAACTAATCACCCATCATTTCTTAATACTTAATGCTGGGTTTAAGCAAATGTTTGTTTTGTTAGCCAAAGGATCCAGCCTACAATGAGAGGCTACAACTCACTGTGAGACAGTGTAGATAACATTTGTGCTGATTTAGAGTTCCTACACTAAACCCTCTCATTTTCTGTAGGTCATAGCCATTCCTTATTGTATGCCCTGTATAAATGGAAATGAATCAGAAATAATGTAAGGTTGAACTTAAAAGTCTATTGACAATAGTTTCCAATAAAGTCTAGGTATAAACCATACCTTCTGTCCCTAGGCTGCAACTTCCTACTTATCAGGATAATTGTTTTATGATTCAGAGGAGTGGGGGGGGGGAGGGGGAAGGGGAAGGGTATTTGTTTAGACTAGTTACTATGGAACTAGCCCTAGAAAGGAAGGAAGCTCAGTCTAAGAATTTGTGAGGCTTACCGAATTTCGTTAGGTCTCTCTTCCTCATATCTCTCTTTGTCTTTCCTTCGGATTAGCAGCCACACCAAGAGAAAAATCAGCAGGGCTCCAGCAACTATGCCTGTCACTGCTCCTGCAACCATGCCGATGCTTTGTACATCTGTTTTCTCAGAAGCACAATAAAACAAACATAAGATAGGAAATACATGAATTAAAAAACTATAGTCTCTGGACAGGATATTTCTCTCCTGTCTTGCAGAGTAGCTACCCATTACTCTCTTTGTCTGACACTTCTTTTTTTTTTTTTTTTGGTCGGTCGTGGGGCTTGAACTCTGGGCCTGGGCGCTGTCCCTCAGCTCTTCAGCTCAAGGCTAGTGCTCTACCACTTGAGCCACAGCGCCACTTCCGATGTCTGACACTTCTTATTGAGTGATAATTTAGGAGAATGAAGGAATACCACCTAAATTTTGTGGCAGTGAAGACTTTGATACTTTATATCTTAGCATTTGAGTTGAGATATAAATGATAGTAAACATTGTCTTGTGATGATCGTGATGTAGTCACAGAGTCAGGTCCAGGTCACATAGGGCCTTTGAAGCTATGAGCAAGGTGTTTATTATAATGACTATGAGAGTTTGTTGTAGTGGCTATGAAAGAGTAACTTGAGCTGGGCCCCAGAGTCTCACACCTGGATTCCTAGATTCTCAGGAGGCTGAGATCTGAGGATCTCAGTTCAAAGCCAGCTCAGCCCATAGTTCAAGTCCCAGGATGGGGAAAAGAAAAAAAAAAAAGGAAGCTATAATACCAGTTAGAATGCTTTCAATCAGTAGTATAGGGCTAGAGATGATGCTAGATTAGGCTACGGTAAAAATAATGTGCATAGAAGCAGATAGATGGATATTGCTTACACTGTAGAAGTATCATTATCAGAAACACTGCTTATTCTTTTATTGTCTTCATGAACTAAACTTACTATAAAATTTTATTTAAAAAATTAACTTTTGGAAATGGTGCTGTGGCTTAAGTGGTAGAGTGCTAGCCTTGAGCTGAAGAGCTGAGGGACAGCGACCAGGCCCAGAGTTCAAGCCCATGACCCACAAGAAAAAAATATTTTTTTTGATATCCTATTTAAAGTTTCAAAAGGCTGTAATGTAGTTTACAATTTCAGCCAAGGATGATGTTTTTCTTACTGCCCTACTCCCAACACAATCTACGTGGATTAGCTAGTAATAGAAATTAAGGCTGCTTTTTTTCACAATAGAAAATAATATGTAATTTCTGTATATTTGCACATATATAGAATACCTCTAAAGGATAAATTCACAGAAGTAGTGCTAGATAAAATGCAATGAACTTTTCCATCTAAAATGAATCACGAGTTGGGCAGTCAAATACTATAAAACAATGAGAATGATAGTATAGTTACAAGCAACAAAATGATGAATTTCAAAAACAATGTAGAATAGAAAAAGCTAGACACCAAAAGTGATTCTGGAGCCAGGCCCCTGTGGCTGTAATCCTAGCTACTCAAGAGGCTGAGATCTGAGGATTGCAGTTCAAAGCCAGCTGGGCAGGAAAGTCTGTGAGACTTATCTTCAATAAACGTCCAGAAAAATGGAAGTGGGGCTGTGGCTCAAGTGGTAAAGCCCTTACTTTGAGCTGAAGAGCTGAGGGACAGTGCCATGACTGACCCCAAAAAAAGGGGGGGTTTGGGAAGGTGGCTCAGTGGTAGAGCGCTTGCCTTGCATGCATGAGGCCCTGGATTCGATTCCTCAGCACCACATAAGCAAAAAAGCTGGAAGTGGTGCTATGGCTCAAGTGGTAGAGCATTAGCCTTGAGCTGAAGAGCTGAGGGACAGTGCCCAGGACCAAACTTCAGGCCCTATGACCGGCAAAAAAAAAAAAAAAAAAAAAGTGATTCTGTCTCTTTCAAGTTTTGAAACAAAGAAAGCAGTCATAAAGTTGGAATCTGAGTAATGGAGGGGTGGCAAGAGGTAATGACAGGTTCTTAATCACAGTGCTTATTGGTTACCCAGGTAGACGTACTTTTGAAAAATCTACCTAAGTGTACATTAAGCATTTATGAACTCCTTTATGTAATTTTACTTCATTATATTTACTCCTCTCAAGTCTGTAGATCAACTTAGCTAAAAGCTGCTACCAGTTTATACTTCATTCAAAGATGTAAAAGTAGCTGGGACTTGGTGGCCTGTAATCCTATCCTAGCTACTCAGGAAACTGAGATCTGAGGACCACAGTTCAAAGCCATCCCAGACAGGCAAGTCCCTGAAACTCTCCAATTAACTACCACAAAACTGGAAGTGGTGCTGAGACTCAAGTGTAGAGTTCTAGCCTTGAGTACAAAGAGGCTCAGGGACAGTGCCCAGGCCCTGAGTTCAAGCCCCACAAATGACCCCCCCAAAAAAAAGTGTATATAAAACACATATATATTCATATATATATATATATATGAATATATATGTGTTTTATATATATATATATATACACTATGTATATGTTGTATATCTATATATACATATATATATATATATATATATATATATATGTTGTAGTCTTTTTTTATGGCCATAACATGCAATTTGCCGTATTTTTCCCTAGTGAAATGCCTATTGAATTTGTACAAAAAAATTGCCTGAAGCCGGGCGCTGGTGGCTCACGCCTGTAATCCTAGCTACTCAGGAGGCTGAGATCTGAGGATCGCGGTTCAAAGCCAGCCCGGGCAGGAGAGACTGTGAGACTCTTATCTCCAATAAACCACCACAAAACCGGAAGTGGCGCTGTAGCTCAAGTGGTAGAGCGCTCGCCTTGAGCTGAAGAGCTGAGGGACAGCGCCCAGGCCCAGAGTTCAAGCCCCACGACCGACCAAAAAAAAAAAAAAAAAAAAAAATTGCCTGAAACAAAAATAAACAGAAGTATAGTGCTGACCATTTACGACTTTGTAGGAGCAACTTGGCAACTTGTAGACCCTTGTCTAGTAGAGATGGAAATAATTACTGTTCCAGTTAAACACATGACTTCAGAAGTTACTGTGTGATTTTGTAGAACATTAACCAGTCTGATGCCTAACCTAGCAATCTTTTCATCTGCTCAACTGTTGTTGTCTGTAACTTCTCAAATGTACTTTGAACTAATTTTTTTTTGGGGGGGGAGGTCCGGTCATGGGGCCTGAACTCTGGTCCTGGGTGTTGTCCCTCAGCTCTTCAGCTCAAGGCTTAGCGCACTTGAGCCACAGCGCCACTTCCGGCTTTTTTCTTATGTGGTGCTGAGGAATCGAACCCAGGGCCTTGAGCATGCAAGGCGAGCGCTCTACCACTAAGCCACCTTCCCTGCCCCACTTTGTACTAATTTTATTTATTTTTTTTGGGGGGGGTCCAGTTGTGGGGCCTGAACTCTGGGCCTGGGCGCTGTCCCTCAGCTCTTCAGCTCAAGGCTAGCGCTCTACCACTTGAGCCACAGCGCCACTTCTGGCTTTTTTCTTTTTGCTTATGTGGTGCTGAGGAATCGAACCCAGGGCCTTGAGCATGCAAGGCAAGCACTCTACCACTGAGCCACCTTCCCAGCCCAATGAACTAATTTTAAAGTAAGTAATAAAGCAGTTTTTTTTTTTTTTCAGTACTGGAGGTTGACCCTAGTGCCTCCACATGTGCTAGATAAGCACTCTACCATCTGCATCTCTCTTGCTTGGCCTCAAACCCAGGGACTCTGCACATGTTAAACAAGTGGTCTAACACTAAGCCACACCCCTCAGTCCCATAGTATATTTATTTAAGGGGCTGGTTAATTCACACACTTGTAAATACAGAGAGTCAAACCTAGATATTGAATGGCTCCTGAAACTGTTGAACTTATTTTTGGTAATAGACATGTCCTCCTACAAATGGAAAACTTTGACCTTGACCTTACTTTTACTGTTAGGCACTGGTGGCTCACACCTGTAATCCTAGCTACTCAGGAGGCTGACATCTGAGGATCATGGTTCAAAGCCCATCCAGGCAGGATAGCCCTGACACGATTATCTCCAATTAACTATCCTAAAAGACAGAAGTGGAGCTGTGGTTTAAGGGTAGAATGCTAGCTTTGAGCACAAAAGCTCAGGGACAGCAGCCAGGCTCAAAGTTCAAGCCCCATGACTGGCATAAATAAATAAATAGTCATATTGAAACAATGTGAAAATAAAATTAAAATTTCTGGAAAGTTGATTTTTCCTTTAGAATTGTATGATTAAGGAAGATTTTAACTATTGCCTTTGTCCCAAAAAACAAAAACCTGTAGCTTTACATTGCAGTGTTTTCTCCAAAAGGCAAGAAGCAAAACACAGATGTTGAAGCAAAAATAGGATAGAATTTTTCTTCCATTTTAGTTGTTTACTATTAAAGTTGGTATAAACATTGATGTTTATCTTCTTGTAAAATGATTTATAAATTAATTTTCTATAAAAATGTTTTAAATGGTAAAATAAGTAAATTTGATTTAATTTAAAGATATAAAAGTACTCCTTGCTGTCTGGTTGGTGTGCCTACCTTATATACTTAATAAGGCCCTGGGTTCAATCCCTAGAAATAAACAAAGGTAAAACAATAACAACAAAAACAAAAGCCCTTCAGGTACTTACACTGTACGGTTACTCTCACCACGCAGCTTTCCTTCCCAGCCTCATTGCCCGCTGTGCACCTGTAGAGCCCAGAGGAGGCCATAGTGAGGTTCTGTAGGAGAACTCGCCCTGGGTTGTTGTAGTCTGTAAAAACAGAAAGAGTGATGCTAAAAAGTGACAACATCTGTATTTCTTGTTTTCTATCAGGGGTGGGTAACCTCTAGCCTGTGGGCCAAATGAAGCCTGTGGTATATGATGGGATAGACATGTATGCTTCTTATTGACTGCCTAAGCCTGTCTGTATTGATAATTTGCCTATTAAAAATACCCAAATAGTCCTTGCAGAAAAAGTGTTCCCCATTCCTATGAGCATCCCTGCACTGATTCTCTACTATAGACTAATAAGGAAGACATGATAGAAAATCTCCCTCTTTGAAACAGGGAAAGGAAACAGGTAAATACACTATTTATTTATTTATTTATTTTTGGTATGTCATGGAGCTCGAATTCAGGGCCTGGGTGCTGTCTCAGAGCACTAGTTCTCTACCACTTAGGGCCAAAGCACTAGTTCCAGTTTTCTGGTAGTTAACTGGAGGCAAGAATCTCACGGACTTTCCTTCCTGGGTTAGCTATGAACCATGATCCTTAGATTTTGGCCTACTGAGTAGCTAGGTTTATAAGTGTGAGCCATCAGCACCCATTGTAAATATGTTTTTAAATGGAAGTGCATTCTCAAAAGTTAGAAAATGCTTGTGAACTTTTAAGTGATCAACAAGATAGATGTAAGTGATTTATTTAATATATTTATTCTCAATCTCTTAGCATTTCTTTGTGTCATTTTAAGAAAGATTTTTCTGTCCTCATTTATAAATGAACAAAAATGGAAGTTGAAGAGGTTCAGGAGTATATTCAAAGTGAGCTACTGCAGCCCACCCAGTGTAGAGTTCATGGATACCATATGTCTCATTGGCCCAGTAGAGTGGTAGGAAGATGACTTACCAATCCTAGATTTAGGAGGCAAATGTTCATCCTCTCCTTCTTTCTCCCGGACTCTCTGCCAGTAATACACAATGGGCTTTGTGCCAGAGGATGACTCACACTGCAGAGTCAGGTCACTTCCCTCTGTCAGCTCTCCTTCCAGTTCACACTTGGGCTTGGATGGTCTCACTGCAGATTCAGAAATTCCCCAAATATCACATTGAATGGAAAAAGTACGTCTTACTGAGTTATTTCTCCAGTCATCCCTTGCACTGTCCCTGAGTGTCTTTTGCTCAAGGGTAGCACTGTACCACTTGAGCCACAACATCACTTCTCACTTTTTCTGTTTATGTGGTATTGAGGAATTGAACCCAGGGCTTTATGCATGCTAAGGCAAGTACTCTACCACTAAGCCACATTCCCACCCCTTATGGTCCATTTTTGAGTCAGGATTCCACTCACTCTGTCCCCTGCACTCACACAATTCTAGCTGCTACTAGTGGATGTGTAATTTTCAGGTGTAGCCTCAGAAACTCCCATATCACTTCTCAAAAAATAGGAACTTACTTATTTGGAATTTAGGAAAGCATGGTTTCACTGATACTTAAATAGGATTAGAAGATCATTAATTTGGAACTGATTAGGTATAACTCAGTGGTTCTTGATGTCAAAAGGCAGAAATGGCCAGGTGCTGGTGGCTCACGCCTGTAATACTAGTTACTCAGGAGGCTGAGATCTGAGGATCATGCTTCAAAACCAGCCTGAGCAAAAAAGTTGGTGAGACTCTTCTCTTCAATTAACTATAAAAAAAGCTGCAAGTGGAGCTTTGGCTCAACTGGTAGAGTGCTATCCTTGGGTAAAAAAGCTCAGGGACAGGCCCTGAATTCAAGTTCTAGGACCAGCACAAAGGAAAAAAAGATAGAGATGAATTTCAGTAATGTCTCAGAGATTGTAGAAGAGGCTGGGAATGGAGCTCAGTGGCATAGCACCTCTTAGCATGTTTAAGGCAATAGGTTAGATTCCTAGCATCAATAGTAAGTTATAATAATAAGTTAGACAAGTGCTCTACCAGTGAGCTACACCCCCATCTCTTTAAATATAAGGTATTTAAATTTGGTAATGAGCTAACATGGAGAGTTGTAATTATATTTTCTTTTTTCATTATGTCAAAATACAGAATATTATGTTCCTTTGCTAGGAATTGGACTAAATGACCTCTAAATGTAATATCTCTGCAGATACCTTATGGAGATGCAGGCATGACCAGGCACTGTTGGCTGACACCTATAATCCTAGCTACTCAGGAGGCTGGGATCTGAGGATTGCAGTTTAAAGCCAGCCTGGACAGGAAAGGCCATAAGACTTAACTTCAGAAAACCGGAAGTGGCGCAGTAGCTAGTAGAGTGCTAGCCTTTAGCTGAAGAGTTGAGGGATAGCGCCCAGGCCCAGAGTTCAAGCTCCATGACCGACAAAAAAAAAAAAAAGATGTAGGCATGTAAACTGTGTGGTGTGCACCTAAAACTGCAGCACCCAGGAAACTGAGGCAGGAGGATCTCATTATGGACGCATGGACTCTACATAGTGAGACCCTGTCTCAAAAAAACAAAAAGCAAGATATAGGCAGCTCCCTTGGCCCTATCTTACCTAGGACTTTTAAGATGACATAGTTCCACACGTAGCGTCCTGAATTCTTCACCTTACAGGTGTACTGGCCCTCATCACTGGGCTTCAGAGGCTCAATCTGCAATGAAGCATCTCCTGCCAGGAAATTAGAAGCAAAGGCTACTCGGCCATTCTGTTCCTCAGTTAGGTTATTGTAGACATGACGACTGGAATAGGTAATCACCTACAGGACAGACCAAGACAGGGTCATGGTTAAAATGCAGGTCTGATGCTGAGGATTTCATTGTTTGCTTTTTCTTCTTTGCTGGCTTTACTGTAGATTAGTAAGAATAAGTCAGATGGGGAAAAGGGGCTACCCTTCAACAAGTCAGTTTGTAAGTACAACACACCGTAATTGACATCACCCTCTCATCATTCTCTGTCCCTCACAACCCATCCCATCCCTTCAGTTTATTACCTGATGGACTTTGAATGATGTAGTCACTCTTACTTTGAAACTTAGTTGTTTTTCCATCCTTCGAATTAGAAAAAAAAAAAGCTTCTGAGTTCTAGTAGGCTATGCTATCACTTTTGGGCTGAAATTCAAATGTTCCTGAGACTGCCTACCCACCCCCAGATGTTCTGTGCCTGCTCTGAGAAACCTAGACAAAGGCAAAGAAAATATTTCTTCTCAGATTGAAATGGGGAGCTAAACTTGGGATCTGCGTCATTGGTTAGCCTACTTTTAGCACCCCATGTATTCCAACCCTTCCTGTCTTTTCTGTCACCCCCCACCCCAACACTGTGTTACCAACACGCTGGCAGTTATAAAGTCTTACCAACTTTACTATTTTTTTGTAATCTCCTTCAGATTCCAAACTACCTATGGCTATTATTTAAGCTATTGTATTGTATGAAATTGCGTTTGCTTTTAGTTAAGGCTCCCTAAAATCAATATGCCAGTGTCAGGACCTAAGATATACTCTTGAAAGCCTTCATTGACATCGTACAGGCAATTCTAAGTTCAATAACATGTATGGCACAGTAGGCCTTCCTGGGTTCTGATCCTATAGCCCCCACAGGCTCACATTTTGTATTGCACTTACACTAGCTTATGACTTCTCAAAATTTTCCAGCCTTTGTGTCTACACTCAGGGAAGGCTTTTGTATCAAGACTTAGATCAAAGCTGGCTGAGGTAGTACATGACTGTAATTCCAGTTCTTAGGAGGCTGAGGCAGAAAGATGAGTTCTAGGTCAGTTTTGGCTACTTGAGGAGACCTTGTCTCAAAAGCAAATGTGGAGGAGATGGGGAAAAACAAGTCGTTTAAGAATACAGGTGGACCTGTTGCAACAATGAGAAGTACAAGTTGTTGTCATGTCCAAAACGAGCTTTACAACGTCGGTGCGGGGGGGAGGAGAAGGATTGGGATTGGGGGGGGAGGGGGGAGGCTGGGAAGGGATGTGAAGGGTAAACAAAGGAGGAGGCTGCAATGCTTGGTAAGAAATGTACGCATTATTCTGCCCATGTAATTGTAACCCCTCTGTACAGTATGTTCACAAATAAAATAAAATTAAAAAAAAAAAAAAAGCAAACAAAACAGTCTTAGACCAGCTGTGCTTTCCATCAGGAAACTGTCCTTGACCTGCTCTCCTCTGCTGTAACTATTCAGCCCATGGTTCTTCCTTGATATTGTAATTCCTCTTAAATAGATAATTTTCCTTTCTGAGGTTTTATTACCAGCTATTAATCAAATATTAAGTAAAAAGTCCAGAAGTAGCCGGGGCCTGATGGCTCACGCCTGTAATCCTAGCTACTCAGGAGGCTGAGATCTGAGGATCGCGGTTCAAAGCCAGCTGGGGCAGGAAAGTTCGTGAGACTCTTATCTCCAATAAGCCGCTAGAAAACCGGAAGTGGTGCTATGGCTCAAGCAGCAGAATGCTCGCCGATTAAAATAAAGAAAAAAAGAAAAAAAGAAAGTCCAGAAGTAAACACTTCATAAGTTTGAACTTGGCCACCATGCCAAGCATTGTGATTGTCTCTAAAATTCTGTTCTATCCTGCTTGGCACAGAATCATTCAGCCTTTCCCTACTGTGCAGACGACTCACCTACTACTTACTCAGTAGTCATTTCATCAATTGTTGAAGTTTTATGTGCTTATGTTTAAATAGCTTTTATTTTACCCCAAAGCATAGGTGTAGTGACCCTGGCAATTTGGATATGCTAAAAAGAAGCGATAGCCAGGCACTACTGTCTCATGTCTATAATCCTAGCTACCCAGGAGGCTGAGATCTGGAGAAGTGAGATTTGAAGCCAGCCCAGGCAGAAAAATCTTTGAAACTTCATGTCTAATCAACAAGCAAAAATCTGGGCTGGAGATGTCGCTCGAGGGTTAGAATACCAGCTAAAATGTGAGGCCTGAGTTCAAACTCCAGTACCAGAGAGAGAGAGAGAGAGAGAGAGAGAAAGAATAAAGTGCTTCTTTCAGTGAGACGGTAAAAGTTTTTGACTTAATAAAACAAAAATCATATGCTGAGATTGCTAAAATCTCTGGGAAGACAAATACTTTTTGAGGGGGAAGGAATGTGTGTCAAACTTTCGATCCTCCTGCTTCAGTCTCCCAAACTCTGGGATTATAGGTATATATTACCACATCCAGTTTGCCAAAAACCAAATATTTTGTCTGAAGTTTTGAAGAAGGAAAAAGAAAATCATGAAAAATTTGCTCAAACTGCAAAAGTCATACCACAGTGCCTGGTAAGTGCTTAGTTAAGATGTAAAAGGCATTAAATTTGTATATGTAAGGAAGGTGCTGGTGACTTCTGCCTGTAATCCTGGCTACTCAGAAAGCTGAGGTCTGAGGATAGCATTCAAAGCCAGTCTGGGAAGGAAAGTCTGATACCCAATTAACCATCAGAAAACTGGAAGTGGAGCTGTAGCTCAACGTGGTAGAGAGCTATCCTTGAGCAAAAGAGTTCAGGGTCAGTACCCAGGCCATGACAAAAAATAAATGAATAAATAAATGAATTAAAAAAATTGTACATGTTGGGCTGGGAAGGTGGCTCAATGGTAGAGCGCTTGCCTTGCATGCCTGAAGCCCTGGGTTCGATTCCTCAGCACCACATAAGCAAAAAGAAAAAAAAGCCAGAAGTGGCGCTGTGGCTCAAGGGGTAGAGCGCTAGCCCTTGAGGGACAGTGCCCAGGCCTAGAGTTCAAGCCCCATGACCGGACCCAAAAAAAAAAAATCTGTACATGTGAACATGGGCAAAAGTTAGGGATACATAGAGTTTGGTATTGTCTACTTTTAGGCATCCACGGAAAGAACTCAGGAACCTGACTCAAGTATGGTGAAAGGAAAGTCTATCATAGTCACTTTTGGATTTTATCATAAGAACATGGGCTCTTATTTACTTATTCTGAACTGAGAATATCATGTCTAAGATTGTCCAACAAGTTGGAATAAACACATTCAGGTTAAGGTGACCTTGCTCTACAGAGAACAGATGCACTACTAGAACAAAACGATAAGGAGTATCAAAATAACAAGGTGATACTCTTTAAGCACGTTAAACTCCAAACAATGATCTTGAACTTTAGTTTTTTTAAACTCTAAACAATGATCTTGAACTTTAGTTTTTTGTGAAAATCTTAGCTTTCCCCAGAATAAACCATTTTATAAAATTAGCAATGGAAACTGACTGATCAGAGCAAAGGAGAGATTTTCATTTTTTAGCAGGAAAAGAAGTAAAGTTCTACCAACAATTTGAAGACTTTAAGCCACAAAATAGTTTTTTACATTAAACAGTCAATGCTTTATTATGTAATAAATATCATGGTAGATGATTTTGCCAAACTAGAGGCTAATATACATGATCTGAGCCTATTTCAGTTAGGTGAGGCGCAACTTTGATATTAGGGCCATTAAATACATTTTCAACTTACGATATGTCTATTTTACCATAGGTTTATGGAAATGTAACTTCATTCTAAGTTGAAGAGCATCTATGTTTACAAGAAAATTGTTTAGTACATTGTAGGAAATACTTCAGTGTTTACTTAGTCATAAAGGCAAAATGGGTTCAGAGGACTGCAAGTGACCTCAAACTCATAGCAAGGCCTAATTTTATGAAGAGACATGTCACACACTGTTCAAAGGTTTTTTCCTCTATGACTAGAAGGGGTCAAGACAAACCAAAGAGACCTTATAAATGTGTCTCTAAAACTAAACAGGAGGGGCTGGGAAGGTGACTCAATGGCAGAGCACTTGCCTTGCATGCATGAGGCCCTGGGTTCGATTCCTAGCACCATATAAGCAAAAAGAAAAAAAGCCGGAAGTGGTGCTGTGGCTCAAGTGGTAGAGTGCTAGCCTTGAGCTGAAGAGCTGAGGGACAGCGCCCAGGCCCAGAGTTCAGGCCCCACGTCCAGACCCCCACCCAAAAAAAAAAAAAAACTAAACAGGACACAATTTGGAATTTTAAAAATGAATCAGATTCCCATCTTCTCACTAATGTGACTTACTGGTACTTCTCATAAGTTAGGTTTCCCTTTGTTTCATTATTTTAGTCATCCTAAATCACAAAACCTTAGACAAGAATGTAAGTCTGAATAAAAACAAAAAACCCTGAGAATAATTATGCTGGAAATAATAGTTTTCTCTAATAGAGGAAACCAACCACTGTTGTATGAAGACAAGGCAGGAAGGAGTACTTTAGAACATGTAGCTTCTTCTCTTCTGGCAGTTCTGGGGCTTGAACTCCGGGCCGGTGCTGGCCTTAGTCCCTAAGCTTTTGTGTTCAAGACTGGTGCTCTATCACTTGAGTCACAGCTCTACTTCTGGCTTCTTGAGGTTCATTGCAGACTAGAGTCTCATAGACTTTCTGCCCCAGCTAGCTTCAATCACAATTGAAGCAGATCTCCATCTCTTGAGTAGCTATGATTACAGGCATGAACCATTGGTACCCAGCTCATAGTTGTCATTTTTTTCTTTTTGCCAGTCATGGAGCTTGAACTTGGCCTGGGCACTGACCCTGAGCCTTCTTTTGCTCAGGGATAGCACTCTACCACTTGAGCCACAGCGCCACTTCTGACTTTTTCTGTGTAAGTGATACTGAGGAATCGAACCCAGGGCTTCATGCATGCTAGGCAAGCATTCTACCACCAAGCCACATTCCCAGCCCTTGTAGTTGCCATTTCTAATATATAAGGATTTGGGGCCTGCTCCTTTTTTATTTTTTTCCAACTCTACAACCAGCATTATTTCCTTTGCTGGCTACTTAATGTTTGTGTGCAGTGTTTTGGTTTTTTTTCCCCCAAACCCTTGTTTGTCTGCATCATACATGGTTTGGCATATTACATAATCTTTGGAACCTGTAAACTCTGATTTTGTGCAAAGGTGAGGTCTAGACAGGTAGTAATAGTTCAAAAGTAGGAAAGGGAGCAGAGCTAGAGTTCTAGGCTTTGGGTCCTTCACACTGGATTATGGGATCAAGTTGCTGGATCTTAGGCCTCTTCCTCGGCAAAGATGTTAATAATTAAGATTCCCTCCTTGGGCAAATGGTAGATAGCTTTCTAGTACTTCCAGTTTATCAAAGAACTTAGACTTTCTTATCCTCACAATCCAAATATCCTTTCTTTCTAGTTTTGTATATAGAGTCAAGCATAAGCCAGATGAAAAAACAAAAACCCAACAAGAAAGACTGGAAAATGAAGAAAACAAATGCAAGAGAACAAGCAGGAGGGGTACTCAAGAATGACAGAAAAGTAAACAGGCTCAGATGGCTACGAGTAGGAAAGGGTGAATGAGGTGACTATGGTTGACTTCTCGTTTGTTTCCTAGCTTATTTGCATGTATGAAAATAAAACAGTGAAATCTAGTGAAATTGTTTTAAGGAGGGGAAATGGAATAGAGGAATACATGTGTGGAAATGTCACACTAGATCCCTCTTTGAATACTAATGTATGATAATTTTTTTCATGGGCAAAATTTTAAAAGTGGGTTACTCAAGCCAAGTATATACTTACCACTTTTTGTTTCCCTTCATTATCTGTGAGCAGCCATTCGATATCCAGGGTGTCTTTTTCCTGAAGTCCCAGTTGATGGTGACAGGGCAAGGTGACCTTTTCCTCTGCTACTCTCTTGATCTCAGTGTGAGTTCCCAAGGTTCCAACATAGTAGGAAACTAGAAGAGGCAAACCTCTAATGAGCAATGTAGAAACTGGACAACAGTTTGGGGAACAAACATTACAACAAATACTTTGTGGGTGTTCTTTTGAGCAAGGAGCAGCTTGTTTTGGAAAAATCTTACACTAGAAGTACAAATAGCTCCCCATTAATGAAAGTCATCACATCTTTAACCTCTCTATCTTTTACTAGTCAACGGCTTCCAGAAGGATGATGATCATGGAAACCATGCACTAAGTTGCCGAGCAATTCGTGTTCTCCACATTACAATATCAAAACCATTTGAAAGTGTAGAAAACCCTACAGGTGAGCTTTCTTATTTTGCAAATTAGCTTCTTTCAATCTGTAACAATTGTTCCTGATCAGTAGCCTATTTAAGAGGATGAAAAGAAGACTAAGAAAATACAGCCAGGTGCTGGTACCTCACGCCTGTAATCCTAGCTACTCAGGAGGCTGAGATCTGAGGGTCGCGGTTCAAAGCCAGCCCGGGCAGGAGAGACCGTGAGACTCCTATCTCCAATAAACCACCAGAAAACCAGAAGTGGCGCTGTAGCTCAAGTGGTAGAGTGCTCGCCTTGAACTGAAGAGCTGAGGGACAGCGCCCAGGCCCAGAGTTCAAGCCCCAGGACCGACCCCCCCCCCCCCCAAAAATACAATAATAATATTATTCATGATCAAAAGACTATACAAATTTACAGAAGAGAAATTATAGGCAGGTAAGTATAGGGTTCAGGTTATCGCTTTCAAGGGTTTCGTGAATATTAGAAATAGTGAATGTTAATCGTGTAGTATAGTGTTTAGCACATTATGGCTCTGAAAGAAAACAAGTGAGTGTTCTGGTTTGTTTCGGTTTTGTTGAGACTGGTGATTTGACTTAAGGCCTCCAGCTTGCTAGGCAAGTGTTCTACCACCTTAGCTACACCCTCTAGTCCTTTTGATTTTTAGATTGTTCTTCAGAAAAGGTCACGGTGCATTTTCCTGGGCCAGCTTCAGATCTTGATCCTCCTATCTTTACATCTACATAGCTGGAATTCCAGATGTGTCTCATCCTGCCTAGCCTAAGACACCTGCTTTTACGGAGAAGGGGTGGTGATGTTTCAGTGGGCACAGTAGTATATACTTGAAATCCTCTCTACTCATGAGGCTGAGATGGGAAGATTGCTTGAGCCCAGAATTCCAGAGCAGTCTAGGCAAGATTATGAGACAGAGACTCAGAAAAGTAAACAAAACCAAATAAAAGTGAAACTAAGCCAGGCATCGGTAGCTCACGCCTGTAATCCTAGCTACTCAGCAGCCTAACCAGGAAAAGCTATGAGATTCTTATCTCCAATTTACCAACAGAAAACGGGAAGTTTCACTGTAGCTCAACTGGTAAAGCACTAGCCTTGAGCTGAAGAGCTCAGGGACAGCTCCCAGACCTAGAGTCAAGCTCCATGACTGACCGGAAAAAAAAAAAAAAAAGTGAGAAAAGTTGGGTTTTGGTGTGGGCTTTGGAAAATAGAATTCTTATGGAGGTCAAGGAAAGATGTTAAGATGTGGGCAAGGGGAAATGGCAGGAACAAAAGCATAGTATAGGAACGTAGGGAAGGGGATATCAGTGAATGATAATAATTCAGTATGGTTCTACTAGTCTCTGTGATTCATGGTCTGCCCCTCTTTGGTTTCTAATATGCTCAGATTTACATCATAATCCACATTTCTGTACTGTGTCACCTCTTGTGGTGTATACACCAAACACTGAATGCTGTAGTAACGAATGCAGTGAAAAGTGCAAGAGCAGAAAAAGAATTCAATACATTAGAGTCAGATTTGACCAATTTATGTCATATAATTGAAATGGAAATGATACATTCAATTTCCTTTTATTATTCAGAATAATTTTTGTCAAAAGAGACTATGTTTTACTTTTAGTTTTACATGGAAGGTTTGAATACATTGCAGATATTTGGTAAATATTTGCTGAATTGATTTGAATCTAACTTTTGTATCTGTTTATCATTGAAGAAACCAAGGCAAAAGTCAAGACACAGGAGTAAAAGAGTTATCCTTCACTTAATAAATGATTTAGAGCAGAAATAACTTCTTTTATTACTCATCTTCCTTCAGTTCCCATAGGGCAGCTCTAAAACAGCTGAAAAAATTTGCCTATTTTTGTTTTGTTGGTCGTGGGGCTTGAACTCTGGGCCTGGGCGCTGTCCCTCAGCTCTTCAGCTCAAGGCTAGTGCCCTACCACTTGAGCCACAGCACCACTTCCGGTTTTCGGAGTGCTTTATTGGAGATAAGAGTCTCATGGCCTTTCCTGCCCAGGCTGGCTTAGAACCATGATCCTCAGATCTCAGCCTCCTGAGTAGCTAGGATTACAGGCGTGAGCCACCGATACCCAGCTAATGTGCCTGTTTTTGTTGTCTTAAGAAGCCAGCCTTGGGCTGGGAAGGTGGCTCAGTGGTAGAGCGCTTGCCTTGCATGCCTGAGGCCCTGGGTTCGATTCCTCAGCACCACATAAGCAAAAGGAAAAAAGCTGGAAGTGGCGCTGTGGCTCAAGTGGTAGGGCACTAGCCTTGAGCTGAAGAGCTGAGGGACAGCGCCCAGGCCCAGAGTTCAGACCCCATGACCGGACCCCCCCCCCCCCCAAAAAAAAAAAAAAAAAGCCAGCCTTATAAAAGTTCTGTCTTCTGTTTTGAACCTGACAATGCTCAAATGAAACCATGTATTTCCATACCACACAGAGCTAGAGAACCTAGTACCAACTTAGGAAGACAAGCAGGCATTTACTGAATACACTGAATAAATAAATAAATGCAGAATTAACTATGACCACTAGAGGGAATCAAAGGCTCAGATTTGGTTGATGTCCCCAAAAAGACTAGAACACTGTGGTGGGCGGTGTGCTTTGACAGAGCACCAAGTTCTATTTATACATATCCAAAATTAAATACTGCAGTGAAAGGAGGTGCCATTGGTGAATATAAATGGATTTCCCAAGGCAGGGAGCCCCAGCCATAGCTCATGAATCTGTAGTCTTCCCTGAATCTCAGTTTCTTAGACTCTAAAGAGGACCACTAGGGTCTCTAGATTTCTGTGATTCTTTTTTTTGGTCTGTTGTAGGGCCTGAACTCTGGGCCTGGGCGCTGTCCCTCAGCTCTTCAGCTCAAGGCTAGCGCTCTACCACCTGATACACAGTGCCACTTCCTGGTTTTTCTGCTTATGTAGTGCTGAGGAATCGAACCCAGGGCCTCATGCATGCAAGACAAGCTACTCTACCACTGAGCCACCTTCCCAGCCCCCAAAATTTCTGTGATTCTTTTGTAGCATTTTTAAAAATTTTATTTTATTTTTTTATCTACACTCTTGTCCAATAGTCTTAGATGACAGGGGCATAGGCTCTGTTTTTAAACACCAACACTTGACAGTGTTCATAAGAATTACTCAAAACGTTTGCCGGGCGCCGGTGGCTCACGCCTGTAATCCTAACTACTCAGGAGGCTGAGATCTGAGGATTACGGTTCAAAGCCAGCCCAGGCAAGGAAAGTCCGTGAGACTCTTATCTCCAATAAACCACTAGAAAACCGAAAATGGTGCTATGACTCAAGCAGTAGAGCGCTCGCCTTGAGCTGAAGAGCACAGGGACAGCCCAAGCCCAGAGTTCAAGCCCCACAACCAACCAAAATTTTAAAAAAAGAATTACTGAAAACGTGATGCCTGAGAGGGAAGGATGGCCCTGCAACTCTGTGGCCAGCTTAGAACTCTCTGGGCACTGAAGGATTCATCTTCATTTAAAAAGACTTTTAGAGATCAT